CCGAATCAGAAATCCGTGATTCTGAGAGGGACTAACATGCAGGAACCGCAGGCTGGACGATAGCTAAGGTCATTTTATCTCAGCCGTGTTTGAACTCTGTGACTGCTTTCCCGGAGTGTCGGTTCTGGTTCACGTCTCATCTTTATAATCGATCCTCCAGAACCTCTTCAGACGACTACTACTAGTCCTGGAGCCTCGAGAGCCTGCCCTCTTTATGACTTGTCACCTGTAACAGTCCCTTCCAAGCCATATTATTGCCATTCGAAAAGCAATATTGTTTTCATCTTTTCTGTTATAACGGTGTTCCCCAAAGTTGTTTTCCTCAGCACACTAATTTCGATAATATTCGTGAATTATGAAGAGTCCAGCACAGTTCTGGCAAATAGAAAACTCTAAGGAAAAAAAAAGCTTAAATAAATTCTATTTTGTCACAGCTCATTCCGTATTGAGATGAGCATGGAGCACAAAGGAACACTCAAGAACAAGGACAGTCCACGTCTACGGAAAAGACGTGGTACATCTATGGTAGAAAAATAGATTGTGGAAAAGGAAGTATCAGTCAGTAGTAGGGAGAGGTGGCGTCTGCAGGCAGCAGAGGAGTTAGGGCCATCTGACAGGGTGGAACAGGAGGCCTTTGCTATGTGCCGCGGTCAGACGCAAAGCAGTGGGGTTAAGCTCACCGCCCCCCACAGCCCTTCCTCCCTGAAGAAGTCCCGCTGTAGCCACCTGCAGTAGGCTGCACAAGTGCGCTGTGTGTCTGTGTGTGTGGGACTAGTCATGTGTTTATCTACTGAGAGTTGGTTTTTGGGGGGTTTTTGTTTTTTTTTTTAATGACTGCCTTTCTTATGCAGTGTCTGCTCCTCCAGGTCCCAAACAAAAGCCTTCTCTTGAGTGTTTCTCTATTCGGGGAGCACCAGCCCTCCTCTGCCTACCCAGGTCACAACACCGTACGGCCTCCGCAGAGGGAGACCCTGTCGCTTTCCTTGTTTGACAGCCCCCTTCCCAGATG